CAGGGCCACCACAGGACCCCCTCCTCACCCACCCTCCCCCAAATTGTCCCCCCCAAACTCACCCCACGGTGCCTGTCCGCTCCTCTTGGCAAGCGCTGGCCACCGTGGGGTGGAAGGCGGGGCGGGCGTGCAGGGCGGCCTCCTTCCGAAAACACTGGTGGGGGGACAAAGAAGGGGGGACACCGGTGTGACCACAGGGCTCAGCGGGGCCACCCCCGGGCCGGGGGGTGTGTGTCCCCCTCCTGCTCACCGGGGGGAGGTCAGCGATGACCCTGTCCCTGCGGACCGGAGCCAGCACGTTCATCGTCGGGGGGGGGCTGGGTGGCCGGGGGGAGCGGGGACGAGCCGAGAGCCACCGCGAGGCCTGGGGACAGAGGGAGGAGGGAGAGGTGATGTCCCCAGCTGTCCCCACGCACAGCATCCCGGAATACGGCTGTCCTGGTGTCCCCAAACGTGGCTGTCCCTGTGTACCAGTCACCCCAATGTCCCCAAATGTGGCTGTCCCCACAGCCTGGGGTGCAACTGTCCCCGTGTCCCAGCTGTCCCTGTATCCCAACCATCCCGATGTCCCCAAATGTGGCTGTCCCCACACCCTGGGGTGCAACTGTCCCCATGTCCCAGCCATCCCGAGGTCCCAGACACCCCGATGTCCCCAAATGTGGCTGTCCCCACACCCTGGGGTGCAACTGTCCCCATGTCCCAGCTGTCCCTGTGTCCCAGACACCCCAATGTCCCCAAATGTGGCTGTCCCCACAGCCTGGGGTGCAACTGTCCCAGCTGTCCCGATGTCCCAGACATCCCAATGTCCCCAGACCCACCCAGACCCACGGGTGCAACTGTCCCCGTGTCCCAGCCGTCCCGAGGTCCCCCAAATGTGGCTGTCCCCTTGTCCCAACTATCCCCACATCCCTGCATGTGGCATCCCCAGGGTGTGGCTGTCCCCACGTCCCCAGACGCTGCCACATCCCTGCACCCCGGGGTGCCCACTGTCCCCGTGTCCCAGCTGTCCCCACGTCCCCGAGTGTGGCATCCCAGCGCATGGCTGTTCCCCATGTCCCCCTGGTCCCCGAGTGTGGATGTCCCCAAGTCCCACCCGTCCCCATCTCCCACTCATCCCCGTGTCTCACGGGTCCCCAAGTCCCCACGCGTGTTCGTCCCCGTGTCCCCCTCCGTCCCCGTGTCCCCGAGTGTGCCTGTTCCCGTGTCCCACCACCCTCCCGCACCCCCAGCCCCGTGTCCCG